TGCAGGGCCCCTCTGCCAGGCACTGCCATGACAGCAACGGGCCAAGCTGGCAGTGCGTGTGCCGGCTCCGAGAGGACAAGTCTATCCGTCTTTGGGTTGAGCAGCTAAAGCTAAGCTGAGCTGAGCCGCTGATCCCTTTAAATAGCTCAAAGGAGGAGGATGGGAGCACGGGGGGAAGGGAGAGGCAAATTGTGTGGGGGCATAACGAGGGGAGGAGAAAGTTCTGGCAGACCTTCTGTCCCTGCCCCTGGCATGACCAAATGGGCCTGGAATACATGGGCTTCCCCGTGTTGGGGATCAGGTTTGTAACTGGACTCCCTAGTAGCCTGTGGGCTGCAGAAATGAGTAGCAAGTAGAGTATGGGGACTGACATTGTGGCACTGCGGGTTGAACGGCACCGCCCAACCCACAGTGCCGGCATCCCATGTGAGCGCTGCTTTGAGTCCCAGCTGCTTCACTTCCAAACCAGCTCCCTGCTAATGCACCAGGGAAAGCAGCGGAAGATGGCCCAAGTGCTTGGATCCACACCACACACGTAGGAGACCAGGAAGAAGCCCTGGCACCTGGATTCACCCTGGCTCAGCCTGACTGCTGTGGCCACTTAGGGAGTGAAGCAGTGGATGGACGATCTCTCTCTCTCTGACTTTTAAATAAATATAACTAAAACTGAAAAATAAATAAATAAATAAAAAGAAGAAGAAGGAAGGGAGGTGGGAGGGAGGAAAGAGAGCATGGAAGCTCTGCCCAGTCTGCTGGAATGCCTCGGCCACCCAACGCCAAGGCTTCTCGCCCTGAACGTTCAGGGAAGACCCTATTATGCTCAGTCTTCCAGAGAGCTTGCCAGGCACTCCACCCACAGCCCGGCCACCATGACTGGAGCTTCCAGGAGTCACAGGGGGAGGTACCTAGCGCATCACGGATCTTATCTGGGAGCAGCAACCAGCACTGTGGCATAGTAGATTAAGCCGCCTATGATGCCAGCATCCCATATAGGCGCAGTTCATGTTCCAGCTGCTCCACTTCTGATCCAGCTCTCTGCTAATGTACCTGGGAAGGCAGTGGAAGATGGCCCAAGTGCTTGGGCCCCTGCACTCACATAGGAGACCTGGATGAAGATACCGGCTCCTGGCTTCAGCCTTGCCCAACTCCCATGATTGCAGCCATTTGGGAAGCGAAAGAGCAGATACAAGATCTTTTTCTCTGTGTGTGATTCTGGCTTTCAAATAAATAAAAAATAAATCTCTTTAAAAAGAGGGGACCCAGGCCGGCGCCGCGGCTCACTAGGCTAATCCTCCGTCTAGCGGCGCTGATACACCAGGTTCTAGTCCCGGTCGGGGCGCCGGATTCTGTCCCGGTTGCCCCTCTTCCAGGCCAGCTCTCTGCTGTGGCCAGGGAGTGCAGTGGAGGATGGCCCAAGTGCTTGGGCCCTGCACCCCATAGGAGACCAGGAGAAGCACCTGGCTCCTGCCTTCGGATCAGCGTGGTGCACCAGCCACAGCGCGCCGGCCGCGGTGGCCATTGGAGGGTGAACCAATGGCAAAGGAAGACCTTTCTCTCTCTCTCTCTCACTGTCCACTCTGCCTGTCGGTGGCTTCACCCGCTAAGGAAAAAAAAAAAAAAAAAGAGGGGACCCAGGAACAGAAGAGGGAGCCGAGCAGGAGCTTTGTCAACAAACTCTTGAGTGAGCCCTCTCCAGGCTGCACGGGGTGCAGTGTGAACTAGTTTACAAATAAGCAAGGCTGGGCTGGCGCTGTGACGTAGCGGGTAAAGCCGCAGCTTGCAGTGCCAACATCCCATATGGGCGCCGGTTCGAGACCCGGCTGCTCTACTTCCGATCCAGCTCCCTGCTATGGCCTGGGAAAGCTGTAGAGGCCATTGGAGGGTGAACCAATGGCAAAGGAAGACCTTTCTCTCTGTCTCTCTCTCTCACTGTCCACTCTGCCTGTAAAAAAAAAAAAAAAAAAAAAAAAAAAAAAAAAAAAAAAGCATGGCTGTGGCTATTCATAACAATGAGAACAAGAATTCCTGATGTTAGGAAGGAACCCAAGGTTTATCAGAGGTACCAAATGCCAAGCAGGGCTGGGGAGTCGCGGCAGGGAGGGAGAAGGCAAGGGGGCCAATCAGGCAGAGGAGAAAAAGCAGAAACAAGGGCCCACGTCCCCATGTGGCTCGGCACGTGCCACCTGAGCTCTCCATGATAAAGGACAATTATCTCGCCCAGTGTGTTCTAGAGACGTCTACGGTTCCAGGTGTCTCTGCAGCTTCAGGTGCACTTAGAGCCTCTGGGGTCAAGTAAAGTCCTTCTGAGTATGCCCAAGGCGTGGCAGGCAGCCCAGGGCCCCGGTGCCCTGCCAAGCGGCCCAGGAAGAAACGGCTCTTTCTTGGAGTCTGTTCAGGCCCAACTAGACAGGAAGCAGCTGAAGCCCTCGACGCTGACTTTTCTAGCTTGCTGACTGTTGAGGACTTTTCCAGAACCAGGATCTGGCCAGTTTCCCCGCGTCAGGTACCAGCCCATCCCGCTTACGTAACCAAGTATTGTTTGTTCTCCCGGGGGATGCGGGGGGCCAGCTCCTGCCCAGGGCAGGGCCCAGGAGAGCCTGCCCCTGCCCCTGCCCCTGCCCCTGCCCTGCCCCTGCCCCTGCCCCTGCAGGGAGCAAGGCTCTCCAACCCAATCCAAGAGAGAGTTCAGGCCTGTCCAGCGGCAGCCGTGCCCCACCCAGGCATGGGCTGGGCAGAGCAGAGAAGAACTGTTCCTTGGTGGGGCCCTGGGCATGCCCAGATCGTGCAAGCTGTGTTCTAGCAGCCTAAGCTGGATTTGTGTGTGACAGAGGAGGGGTTTGGGGGTTAAAGAGAAGCACTCTTCAACTAGAAATAAACTACCTACCCTTCCCCCCACCCCAGCTTTGTGGTATAGGATTACTGTAAAGAATTTGGGTAGTGGCCGGCATTGTATTTGTAACTGCCTGCAGTGCCAGCATCCTATGGGAGTATTGGTTCAAGTCCTGGTTGCTCCACTTCCCATCTAGCTCCCTGCTGATGTGCCTGGGAAAGCAGCAGAGGATGGCCCAAGTGCTTGGGCTGCTGCACCCACACAGGAGACCTGGAAGAAGCTTCTGGCTTAGACCTGGCCCAGCCCTGGCCATGTGGCCATTTGAGGAGTGAACCAGTGAATAGAAGATCTCCCCCACCCCGGTGTAACTCTGCCTTTCTTTCTTTTTTCTTTTTTTTTTTGACAGGCAGAGTGGACAGTGAGAGAGAGAGACAGAGAGAAAGGTCTTCCTTTTGCCATTGGTTCACCCTCCAATGGCCGCTGCACTGGTCCAAAGGCAGGAGCCAGGTGTTTCTCCTGGTCTCCCACGCGGTGCAAGGCCCAAGAACTTGGGCCATCCTCCACTGCACTCCTGGGGCACAGCAGAGAGCTGGCCTGGAAGAAGGGCAACCGGGACAGAACCGGTGCCCCGACTAGGACTAGAATCCCGTGTGCCGGCGCCACAGGCGGAGGATTAGCCTATTGAGCTGCGGCGCCGGCCTGTAACTCTGCCTTTCAATAAGTAAGTAAATCTTTTTTTAAAAAAGGAATTTCTTGCCGGCGCCGTGGCTCACTAGGCTAATCCTCCATCTTGCGGCGCCGACACACCGGGTTCTAGTCCCGGTCGGGGCGCCGGATTCTGTCCCGGTTGCCCCTCTTCCAGGCCAGCTCTCTGCTGTGGCCAGGGAGTGCAGTGGAGGATGGCCCAAGTGCTTGGGCCCTGCACCCCATGGGAGACCAGGATAAGTACCTGGCTCCTGCCATCGGATCAGCGCAGTGCGCCAGCCGCAGCGCGCCGGCCGTGGTGGCCATTGGAGGGTGAATCAACAGCAAAGGAAGACCTTTCTCTCTGTCTCTCTCTCACTGTCCACTCTGCCTGTCAAAAAATAAAAAATAAATACAAAATTTTAAAAAAGGAATTTTTTTCTAATCCAATGGAAGTGAAAGCCTTTTTTCCTAGCTCCGCCCCACAAGGTCCACCATTGTCAGCCTACGCTGCACACCCTGTCAGATATTTTGTGCAAATCTATTTTTAAAATTAAAAAAAAACAGGACCATACTGTGCATATTATTCTGCAAGCTGCTATTTTCTGCTTAACATGTTGTGGGCATATTTGCATGTCCAGACGGGAAGTTCTGGTTGCCCTTTTTATTGTTTATTTACTTTTTTTAAAAAAAAGATTTATTTATTTATTTATTTGAAAGTCAGAGTTACACAGAGAGGGAGAGGAAGAGAGATAGAGGTCTTCCATCCAATGGTTCACTCCCAATTGGCCGCATTGGCCGGAGCTGAGCTGATCCGAAGCCAGGAGCCAGGAGCTTTCTCCGGGTCTGCCACATGGGTGCAGGGGCCCAAGGACTTGGGCCAGCTTCTACTGCTTTCCCAGACCATAGCAGAGAGCGCCACAGCGCTGACCCCTGATTACCTTTTTAACCATGGTTTTCCAATCTATCTAATCCCATGATGTGGGGCACTGAGGTTGTTTGCAGCTTGCCTGCTACCACAAATAATCCTGCAAAGAATCCAGGTGTCCTCGTCCAGTTCCTTCCTTAAGGCAAATTCCCAGAAGTGGAATCTCTGCCGCGAAGGGCCTTCCCAGTTAAAGTGCGCACACCGGCTGGAGACGGCTATTCGGTTCGGCCTGCGGGCCATGGAGCATGTTCGGACAGGGCCCTGCACTCCCTACATTTCATCCCAGTGAGGGCCGCTTTATCTGTCCTCTGAAGCTGGACAGCATCTGGGCAACCTAAGGCTGCTCCCATCCATCCACATCCCTAGTGATTCTTACTCTTCATCCCTTCCACCTGCATGACAAAGAAAGGTGCAAGACCTTTCTCTAGGTTCGCATCCTAATGCATCAGACACAACGGAGCAAAAGACCTTGGGGCCCTCCGCCTAGCGCGGGCGGAGCTGTAAAACACGGGGCTCCAGACTCAGTCCCCACCACTGCTAAGACACAGCTTTACTCACCTGAAACAGGTCCCCATTGACTGTGGTCCCCATGTCCTCAGGACCAGCTAGGAGAACAAGGAGACAGTATTACTAATTATTCAGTTTGGAGCAGGCACGGGATGTCCCCAAGCCAATCCCTGTACAAGCGTACTTCCAAAAGTTCTCAGAAAATGGAACTAAAAGAGAAGTTTGTTTTGTTGCGACACATTTTGAAATCCACGCGGTTTTTTATCACATACCTTTTCCACGACCTTTTTGATGACCCCCATAGATGCCTATCTGTATACTGCCCCTCCCTCAACAGAGACATATTGGGGGCATTAAATAACTTGTGCTCAATCCTCTACTATTCACAAACCTCTTACAGCCATTATCACATCTAATTTACACCACAGCCCTATGATGAAGTTGTTACGAACCCATTTTATAGATTCTCGAGCTGAGGCTCAGAGGGACGACTTGATTGCCCAAGATCTCCCAGGCGGTAATAGCTCCTTACCTCCTGAAATTAACTGACCCACGGAGCTGCAGCTGGGAATGGCCTGATTGTCTGCAGAGCCTGTGCCTTGCGAGTAGGCAGAGTCGCTGGAGGCTTAGGGTGGGGGCCTCGAGGGATTAGAGAGAGGGGCCAATGCACCTCTGCCTGTCCTGGTGACGCCTTGACAACTGCCCCGCCTGGGAGAGCAGGAATCACAGTTCCCACCAGCCAGCGCCTGCCCTACTTTTCCTCTTAGTGTCCCTCCCATTGGTATTTTATTTTACCTGCAACAGTGACTCCTCCTGTTCCTTTCCCTGATTAGTCACAAATTCCTGCAGCTTCTGTGCCCCTCCACTCTCTCCCTGCTGCCCACCCTCTGCCACGGGCCCACCATCTCTCGCCTGCACAAGAGCTTTGGTCTGTCTGTCCAGCCAGAGGCAAACACCTGGAAGGTGCTTTCCCAGCGCAGTGCTAGGCACCTGTGATTCTGTGAGAGCTCAATGACCACTGGCTGGATAAACAAATCAGTAAGTTAGGAAGGAAAGAATGAATGAATGCACAGCCCCCTCCCCCCTCCCCAGCTCTTCCCTGCCCCCTCTTTCAAACCAATTGCCAAAGCTGATGCTTTGTAAAACATACATTTACCTAGGTCATGCTTCAGATGAAAACACATGGAAAAGAAACCCACTTCCTGTGGACCACAGTGGCCTGCAGGGTCTGTTCCTGTCTTGGGGACCTCACAGGTGCCTCTCTGTCACCTGCCACCTCACTCCCTCCAGCCTCTACCCACACACCGCAGCCTGGTTGGAGGTCTTCATCCCCCCTCTGCAAGTTTCCTCTGTGGCGCTTGCTCCGGCCTCGTCTGCTGACCTGGGCACCGATTTATTATCTGTCTTCCCTGCCTGGATGGACCCTCCATGAGCACAGGGAGCTCATTTAATCCACAGTGAGGCCCCACGAGGGCCTCAGTGGGTACTGGCCAGGTGAGCTCACCAAATCCTGACTGTCGTACCTGAGGGTCTTTAGCGTCTGGCCCCGCCCATTTTTCCCAGACTCACTGCCCACCCAATCCCTCCCTAAATTCTGGTTTCTTCCTCGCCCAAACCTCCCCACTCCACTCCCAACCCCATGCCCTTCTTCCGGTTTCCCGGAATGCTTTTGGGGACTCATTCATTCTCTGAGGATTGGTTCCCAAGGTATCTCCCCTGGGAAGCCCTCTCTAATTTCCTCTACTTCCCTAGGCACTGAAGTGGGAGGAGGTTCCCCTAAACATGGTACTGCAGCCAGCATTCCGCTGTGCGGGAACCCCAGGGACCACGCACTGCCTTACCAGGCTCTGCATCCGCTTCAGCACTTGGGGACTCCTGTGCAGACCTGGTGAGCAGTAACCACTGGCCCAGACAAGCAGAACTGCTGCTTCGGCCCACTCCTCCCTCTATGGCCTGGCAGAAACTGCATGGCCTCCTAGCAACAGCTCGAGGGGCCCCAGCAAATCACCAGTGGACCACTCTCCCTGTCCCAGCCAGAGAGGGCTGTGAGCAGCAGGGACAGTGCTTTCTGCCTGGGGCCCGAAGATAGGGATACCTGATCTCCTGCGCAGACTCACTGGTGGATATAAATTAGAATGGACTATATTTTCCCGGTGAAGCAGAGACTGATTCGGTCCCACAAGGTCACCTGTCACCTCCACCTGCTCCTGCCATGGTGACCTGGCCTCTCAATCATGGTGGGACCAATGGTGTCTCAGTGGCGTCCTCTGCAAAGGGGCTGCTTCTCCTGGGACATCTCTGCAGGGTCTGTGTTAGCAGGATCTCACCCACTGTGGTGCTGGTCTGTGCACTTGGCCTTCGGCAGCAGGTGCACCACCCCACTCCGCCCTGACAGACCCAGTCTCAGACACCTCCCTGCTGGCGCTTTCCTGGGGAAAGCCTCTGTGCCCTAGTTGCTCTAGAGAAGCAGTTTTGGCCTCGCTGAGAGCCCACACACACCCACACACAGCATTACCGGAGCGTTCCCACAGTGCTGTCTGATCCATCGCTATGTTTCCATCCCGGGGATAAACCCCGGGCATGTGTGTCTGACCCATTTTGCAACAAGGGCAGAGAGGGACCAGAACATTCCTGTAAGCTTACCCAGACCCAGCAGGGAAACTGGGCTTGCCCAGAACTGACTGGCAAGTCAGAGCCAGGCTGGCTGCTTAGACAGCTGGGTGTGAAAATGTAAACCTTCTGGGACCTCCCCAAGGCTGATGAATGGAAACAAAGTGTCCGGTGCTCAGGCTGGCTACAGATTCAGCCCCACCCGCCGCATCCCCAGCAGAGACTCAATTCAGGGCGCAGGCCCACCCCAGACACCTCTGTCCCCAGGGGCACTGGAAGCCCAACATCAGAGCACACAACAGTGGCACTGCTCAGACAGCGACCCCCTCATCTAAGAGAAGGCGGGGCAGAGGTGTTAAGTGGCAGCTGCTGAGGCTGGAGCCAGCTTCCGCTCAGCTCCGGGGAGGCCCAGACCCTCCCCTGCCCCATCCAGGCGCCCTGGCCTCATCTCAGGTCTGGGGAGGATTGTCTGTTCCGTGCTGCCTGCGCTTAGAGGGGCCAGATCAATTCTCCCCAGTGAAGCCGCCCGCTGAGCTGCCCACCACCGCCATCCCCATAGCCACCCAGGAAGGCAGTCTCAGTGGGTGAGCCTGCTTGCCCGAGGGCTGTGTCCCCAGCAGCTCCCTGTAAGTCCCTGGTTGTTTCTTTCCCTGTCACCTTGGATCTGGGGCCAGTCGGTACCCCAGGCCTGCAGGTCGGTGGAGCCCCACTGTTCTGGGAGAGGCTGCAACCTCCTCAACTCTCCCGTGCCTCTGGCTGCCCTGGGCCTGCATCCCACCTGCCCTTCTCTCTCTGACAACTGCTGGGCCCAGCAGGGCCTCTCAGGGCTGAGCCAGACTGGGGGAAAGGAATGGGCTCATCAGGGAGGAGGCTGGATAAATGAATGTTTGGCTCATGAACTTGAGGTGCTGGGAGGTGCTGCTTCCGAAGACCTCTGAGGCTGGCATGCTCAGGTAAGGAAACACCTGCCCATGGTATTTCCACATCTCTTGGTCTCCCAGGGAGGTTGCCACAGCATGGAGCCCAGAGGTAAGCAGCCCAGCTTTGGCAAGAGAGGCAGGCTCTCGAGATCTCCAGTGCCTCACGTGTTACAAAAGATTTGTTACATTTCTTACATGGAGGCCTAAGGGTTGCTTCTAATTCCTGGGTCACAGAAACTGCCTAGTTCTACATCCCCCAGGTTTGGGATGGTGGGGGCAGGACTGGCACACACTAGGTGTTCAGCAAACAGTCAAATAATCACACATATTACTGGAAAGAGCTTTGTAAACATTATATATGAGAATACTGCAGAAATTTCAAAGAAATGTTTATTTGGGTGCAAAAAAATGTGAAATGCATGCATATGAGGGGTCTTCAAAAAGTTGGTGGAAAATGCGTATTATGAAAATTCTATGGCTGGATTTCAGTTTTTTTTTTCTGCACCAAAAAACTCTTTTCTTTAAATTCCATTTTCCACCAACTTTTTGAAAGCCGCTGCATGTAGGGATCCGTGTGAGCACTTATCCCAACAGCCCCACAAACTCCTGCAGAAAGACAGCTTTAGCAGAAGCAACGTATGTTTTGGATGTATTCACAAAGATGCCATCTACTTTCTTATTCAGTTTTTTGAGAAAAAAAAAATTTCAAACTAAAATCAGAGCAAGAACACCAATGATAAATACCATACCCCAGGGTCCAGGCCCCAGAGCCAACCACAGCAGCTCTGGACTGCCAGTACTCATTCCTGAAGGGCAGGAAAAGGCTGAGGGGTGCCCCTGCCCCAACCCCAGGGGGTGCACATTGGGGACAGCAGGGTCGGCTGGAGAGGCTTTGGAGTGTGACAGAAACAGATTCAAATTCTTCATCTGCCACTTCTTAGTCATTTCAATAGCGCGCCTCCGTGTAGCTGGCTCGGAAATGGGCTCAGCAGTGCCTGCGAGATGATTCACCGGGACTGCCCTGTCCGCCCCCAGGGACTGTAGGGTGGCGGAGGAGGTTTGCGAGTTCCTGGAGTACTAGTGTCCCTGGCTTCCCCCGCTGTGGGCCAGAGCTATGCTGAAGGGCCAGGAGGTGGCTTGGTTCCGCCCACATCTGCACCACTCACCGGGGAGCCTGGGACGGCCAGGCCATTAGAAGGCTCGGGAGGAACTGGATTCCAGAGCCAGGCCTGGCGGCGAAGCTGGCCTGGGGGGTGAAATGTCATGCCGGATTCTGAGAGTCACCAGACCCGACCCACAGTCCCGGGAGAGCGCTCAGCTCCTGCCCCTCCCTGAGGTCTTGCGTGAGGACCTCCAGGGAAATGCCTGCCCACTTCCCGCGGGCCCGCTCCCTACCCACGCACGGCCCCCGCCCGGCCCCTGGCGGGCCTACCGCAGGCCCGCTTCACTGCACGGCAGGGGCCCTAGGCCAGGGGCCCCCGGGGGCCAGCCCCAAGCCCCCAGCTCCCGGGCCCTGGCGCTGACTCACCCCCGCTCGCGGGTCCCGGCGGCGCCGCGGCCACCTGGCCGGCGGCAGGTGCGGCAAAGCCTTCGTCGTTCTCGATGCCCGCGATCTCGCTCTCCTGCTGAGCCAGGAAGGCGGCCGCCGGGTCCTCCTCAGCCGCCCCGCTCTCGGACGGCGGGAAGAAGCCGAAGTCCTCAGCCATCTTCCCCGGTGCCTGCTGCAACCGTACCTGGCGCTGTCACCCGAGCCGCCGCGGGACCGGCCTCGGCGCGGCGGCCCCGACTTCCTCTCTCCGCCACCGGGCCCGGCGCGCCTGTCACTGCGGCTGCAGGCGCCGCGGCGGGAGGAGCCGGGAGCGGGAATGTGGTGATGTCACCGGCCGAGGGAGGGGGCCCGGGACGGCCCGGAGGTCGCCTCGCGACGGCCACAGGAGGGCGGCAGCAGAACGGCGCCGGAGCGCCTGGGGGCCCGGCGGGCTGGCTCCTGGCTCCTCGGCCGGCCGCGAGCGCGTTTCGCTCTGGTGGGGTCGGTCGGCGGGGCGCACGGCGCAAAGTGGCCGCAGGGCGCGCAGGGCGCGCTGGGCCGCGGCCGGCCTGCGCAGAGTTCGCTCAGGACTCGTTCGGCCAAAGCCCTCTAGCCTCGGCGGGGTCGGTGTTGGGAACCCTACCACCTGCGCCTGGAGGTTGGGAAGGAGGCTGGCAAAGCCTTCGCCGCGTCGCTCCCAGCACGGCCGTGTCGCTTTCGTGCTTTTGCCCTCCGTGTCTCTTCCTTGGAGGAGGCGCCCGCTCTTAGGACCAGCGCGGCCCCTTCGACGGCCTTTGGGTAAGAAGTGCTGGAGAAAGGCACACTTAATTTATCCAGGCAGGCTACTGGGCCACGCTCGGTAATCTGTCCCTGAATGTCACCTCTCTACCTCTGCTTTGCCAGGTACCAGGGCGATCCCAGGCTAGCCAGACGGACTCACGGCAAAGCAGGCAGACTTTTAAACACAAGACTCTGGGAGACCAGAGCAGCACCATGGAATTTCGGTTGTTTATCATCATCAACATCATCATCATTATCATCATCATTGTTATTAAATTGAAAACCACAGAGAGCGGGAAATCTCTCATCAGCTGGTTCACTCCCCAAATGCAACAGCAGGCAAGGGGCAGGCAGAAGCCAGGAGCAGGGGAACCCAATGCAGGTGGATGGCAAGGACCCAGCTACTTCAGCCATCACTTGCTTCCTTTCAGGTGCACACGGCGGGAAGTTGGAACCCCGGAAGAGCTAGGACCTGAATCCAGGCACTCCAATGTGGGATGGAGACATCTCAGGCAGCAGCTTAACCATGAGGCCAAGAGCCTACCTTATGGCAACGCAGTTAAACCGCTGGTTCTCGTACTGGCTGCCCCACATCCAATCCAGCTCCCTGGGAAGGTGGAGCCTAGGAAAGTGGGCTCCCTGCCCCTCATGTGGAAGTCAGGCTCCTGGCTTTCCTACCTGGCCCAGCCCTGGCAGCTGCAGCCATCTGGGGAGTAAACCAGTGAATGAAGATCCCTCTCTGTCCATCCCTTGTCTCTGTAACTCTCCCTTTCAAATAAATAAATAAATCTAAAAACAAAGCAAAACATTAGGCCACATGCTAGCCCCTCTATTTCTGATGTGAGACTTGAAGGTTGACTTTGAGTTACGCACCAGAACAGAGAAGGCAAAGCTGTGCCCCAAGCTGTGAGTCGTGGTTCCCTCAGGCAGCAGAGAGTGAAAGTCGAGGGAAGGGAATTTGTCATTTCGCCTCATAATGCTTAGATGTCGCGTGCAGCCTCGTTATGAGAATGTAGGTGTCTATTAGCGGTGTGAATGAAAGACAGGTAAGGCCTTGCACACTGTGCTCCAAGCCCCCACTGCCAATGCAGCACCATCTCACGCCTCTTCCTCAGTCCCCACCTACAGGCCTGGGTGCTGAAAGATCTAGAAAGTTAGTGTAGGTAAGCAATAGTAGATGTCAGCGCCAGGTTCTGTGGCAGCAGAAGGACTGAGGAACACACGAATGCCCACGCAAACTCTATTTCACTCCTCTGTCAGTAACTTTGTGTATGAGGGTACTGCAAGGAAGTCATAAAAAATGCAATTGAGGGGCTGGTGCTGTGGCATAGCAGGTAAAGCTGCCAGCTGCAGTGCTGGCATCCCATATGGATGCCAGTTCAAGTCCCTGCTGCTCCACTTCTGATCCAGCTCCCTACTATCGCCTGGGAAAGCAGTAGAAGATAGCCGAAGTACTTGGGACCCTGCATCCGCATGGGAGACCTGGAAGAAGCTCCTGGCTCCTGGCTTCAGATCAGCCCAGCTCCAGCTGTTGCGGACATTTGGGGAATGAACCAGCGGGTTAAAGTCCTGGCCTGAGGCGCCGGCATCCCATATGGGTGCTGGTTCTAGTCCCAGCTGCTCCTCTTCCGATCCAGCTCTCTGTTATGGCCTGGGAAAGCAATGGAAGATGGCCCAAGTCCTTGGGCCCCTGCACCTGCCTGGGAAGACCCAGAGGAAGCTCCTGGCTTCGGATCGGCTCAGCTGTGGCTGTGGCAGTCAGTTGGGGAGTGAACCAGTAGATGGAAGACCTCTCTCCCTGTCTCTCTCTGCCTCTGCCTCTCTGTAACTCTGCCTTTCAAATAAATAAATAAAGTCTTAAAAAAATACACTCAAATTCTTTTTAAGATTTATTTTATTTATTTTGAAAGGTAGAATTACAGAGAGAATGAAAGACAGAGAGAGCAGTCTTTAATCTGCTGATCCCAAGATGGCTGCAACAGTCAGAGATGAGCAAATCTGAAGCCAAAAGCCAGGAGCTTCATCTGGTCTCTCACATGTATGGCAGAGGCCCAAGAACTTGGGCAATCCTCCATTCTTTTCCCTGGTTCATTAGTGGGGAGCTGGATCAGAAGTGGAGCAGCTGGGACTCGAACCAGCACCCATATGGTACTCCATTTAAGATAATTTTCTTATATGGTGTGAAATGAGGATTGAGGTTCATTTTTTTCCCATATACATGTCCAGTGGTTCAACTTCATTTGTTGGAAATACTATATTTTCCCTTATCAAATTATCTTTGCAGTTTTGTTGAGTGTAATTGACCATATGTATGTAGGTCTATCTCTGGACTCTATTTTATTTTTTAGAGATTTATTTATTTATTTATTTGAAAGAGTTATCCAGAGAGAGAAGGAGAGGCAGAGAGAGAGAGAGAGAGAGAGAGAGAGAGAGAGAGAGAGAGAGGTCTTCCATCTGCTTGTTCACTCCCCAAGTGGCTGCAATGGCCAGAGCAGGACCAATCTGAAGCCAGGAGCCAGGAGCTTCTTCTGGGTCTCTCAGTGGGTACAGGAGCCCAACTTAGGCCATCTTCTGCTGCTTTCCCAGGCCATAGCAGAGAGCTGGATCAAAAGTTGAACAGCTAGGACTCGAACTGGCACCCAAATGGGATGCCGGCACTGCAGGCTGCGGCTTTACCCGCTATACCACAGTACCGACGCCTCTGGACTCTATTTTACTTCTTTGAATTATTTGTCATATGTCAATATTATGCTTGATTAGACTGGCTATGTCAGTTTTGGAGTCAGAGACTTAAACAGAGTTTAAGTGCTCCACCTGTATTTCTCTTTTTTTAAGATTTATTTATTTATTTGAAAGCCACACAGAGAGAGGAGGGGCAGAGAGAGAGAGAGAGAGAGAGGTTTTCCATCCACTGGTTCACTCCCCAAATGACTGCAACAGCTGGAGCTGGGCCAATCCAAGGCCAGGAGCCAGGAGCTTCTTCCGGTCTCCCACGCAGGTGCAGGGGCTCAAGGACTTGGACCATCTTCTGCTTTCCCAGGCCACAGCAGAGAGCAGGATCACAAGTGGAGCAGCCAGGTCTTGAACCTGCATTCATATGGGATGCCAGCACTGCAGGCGGCAGCTTTACCTGTGATGCCACAGCGCAGGCCCCTGTATTTCTCATTTTCAAAACTGTTCTGGTTGGCTGGCGCCGCGGCTCAATAGGCTAATCCTCTGCCTGCAGCACCAGCACACTGGGTTCTAGTCCCGGTTGGGGTGCCGGATTCTGTCCCGGTTGCTCCTCTTCCAGTACAGCTCTCTGCTGTGGCCCAGGAGGGCAGTGGAGGATGACCCAAGTCCTTGGGCCCTGCACCCGCACGGGAGACCAGGAGGAAGCACCTGACTCCTGGCTTCTGATCAGCGTGGTGCACTGGCCGCAGCACGCCACCGTAGCGGCCATTGGGGGGTGAACCAACCGAAAGAAGACCCTTCTGTCTCTCTCTCTCACTGTCCAGTCAAAAACAACAACAACAACAACAACAAACAAACAAACAAACAAAAAAACACTGTTCTGGCTCTTCTTGTCCCTTTACAGGTAAATTTTGGAATCACTTTGTCAATTTCTACTCTTACCCCAGCCAAAACAAACAAACAAACGACACAGAGAGGAACTGAAAGTCCTGAAAGTCCAGGCCAACTTGTGAAGATTTGGCACATTGACAATGTCGAGTCTTCTGACTAACAAGCATGGTACAGCTCTTTGTTTATGCAGGTCTTCTTCAGTTTTTTTCTGCAGTGTTTTGTGACTTCCAAAAGATAGATCTTGCTTATCTAAATTATGCATGGTTTTTGTGCTATTGTAAATGACTACTTATTTATTTCATAGGCAGAATTACAGAGAAAGAGTGAGAGACAGGGGAGAGAGAGAAAGAGAAAGAGAAAAAGAGAGAGAGAGAGAATCATCCGTCTGCTGATTCACTTCCCAAATAGTCTAGAACTCCATCTGGGTCTCCCATGTCAGTAGCAGGGACCCAATCCCTTGGATCATCTTTTGCTGCTTTCTCAGGCGCATTAGTGGGGAGTTAGATTGGAAGTGGAACAGCTGGGACTTGAACTGGCACTTGTATGGGATGCCATAATGCTGCCCCCTAATTTTTTCTTTCTGGTTATGCATTGCTAGTACATAAAAAATTCAATAGATCTCTTTGTATACTGACCTTGTATCATATATTCTTTCTTTAAAAGATTTTATTTAGTTAGTTGAGAAGTAGAGTTACAGACAGTGAAAGAGAGAGACAGAAGAGAGATGACTTCCATCCGCTAGTTCACTCCCCAAATGACCACAACAGCTACAGCTGGGCCAGGCCAAAACCAAGAGTCAGGCGCTTCATCCGGGTCTCCTAAGTGAGTGGCAATCATTCAAGTCCTTGGGTCATCTTCCATTGCTTTCCCAGGTGCATTAGCAGGGAGCTAGATCGGAAGTGGAGTGTCCTGGACTGGAACTGGGCCCATATGGGATGTTGGCATCACAGGCAGCGGCTCTGTCCACCACAGCGCTGGCCCCTATTTCTGTTT